TCAGGCTAAACATGCCCAGCTCCTTAAGCTGCTCCTCATAGGGCTTGTTCTCCAGACCCTTGATCATTTAGTTGCCCTCCTCTGGTCTCATTCCAGCTTGTCAATATCTCTCTTGAATTGTGGTGCCCAGAATTGGACACAATATTCCAGGTGTGGTCTAACCAGAGCAGAATAGAGGGGTAGCATTACTTCCCTAGATCTAGACACTATGCTCCTATTGATGCAGGCCAAAATCCCATTGGCTTTTTTTGCCGCCACATCACATTGTTGGCTCATGTTTAACTTGTTGTCCACGAGGACTCCAAGATCTTTTTCACACGTACTGCTCTCAATCCAGGCGTCACCCATTCTGTATCTTTGCATTTCGTTTTTCCTGCCAAAGTGGAGTATCTTGCATTTGTCACTGTTAAACTTCATTTTGTTCATTTTGGCCCATCTCTCTAATCTGTCAAGATCATTTTGAATCCTGCTCCTGTCCTCTGGGGTATTAGCTATCCCTCCCAATTTGGTGTCGTCTGCAAACTGCCACATAGTTTGTGGCAGCCACAAAAACAAAGCTTCTGGAGTATAACAACTAATTTCAAAGTAAGTGCCTCACAATTAAACAGGAAATAACACTTTCAAACCAGGAACAGGTTTTTTTTTCCAAATTTTGTTACATTGAAAAATAGATTACAAAGCTGTAATGAAGGGATTTTGCCGTTGTGCCCATTCAAAGGGATTTTCACAATTGTTCCCATTTAGGTAAAGGTTTCCCCTAATATTAAGTCCAGTCGTGTCCAACTCTGGAGGTTGGTGCTCATGTCCATTTCTAAGCTGAAGAGCCGGCGTTGTCCGTAGACACCCCTAAGGTCATGTGGCCAGCATGACTGGATGGGGCACCGTTAACTTCCCACTGGAGCAGAACCTATTGATCTACTCACATTTGCATGTTTTCAAATTGCTAGGTTGGCAGAAGCTGGGGCTACCGTGGGAGCTCACCTTGCTCCCTGGATTCGAACCTGCAACCTTTCAATCAGCAAGTTCAGCAGCTCAGTGCTTTAACCCACTGCACCACCGTGGGCTACCATTTATAGTGTTCTATTAACCTTTGCTTGGTTATCAATGTGCTAGCCCAGCTTTTGTCTGCCACCCATCATATTCTGTTGTGTTTTTCCTCTTCCAGAGTCTATCAAGCGATGGAGAGGCGAAGGCCACATTGCCGTCTGGCTGCATGTTCCTATCCTGCAGAGCAGGTTCATCGCGACTGCTGCAGAGCTGGGATTCACCTTCCATCACGCAGAATCCGACTCAGCTACACTCACTCTGTGGATCGCAGACGGGCGCAGCAGGCTGCCCATTTATGCCACGCACCAACTCGGAGTAGCAGGTGAGCCATAGTGGAAGGAAAGCCTTTTATATTCTCCAATTAAAATCTTTTAAAACAGCCAGAGTCATACATAAAATTGCCACAGCATGGAGCAGATATGTGGAGTTTGTTTCCAAAAGGTACCAAATCCATCTGAACACATTTTACAGGAAATGGAAGGGGAAACAAACATGCTGAGGATATATATTCTTTTGCTGTAAGATGCAGTTTTTCGAGCCCTGTTCCAACGTGATTTGATGCATTTAGATAGTTTTGGTCTGTGCATATTGTTTTACTCTTGTCCAACAAGGTGTTGCCACCTATAACTCATTTTTCATATTATTATTTGTTTGGATTTGGTACCTTTTGGAAAAAAAACTCCACATATATCTACATTCCCAGCCTAATTATTTTATTTGAAGATATGAAGGATATAGTTGACGTTAACATCTTTTCTTCTCATCTCTGTTCTTCAGATTTTTTTTTCTGCTGACAACTATGGCCCCTTCAGCACTGCCATATAATCCAGATTATCAAAGCAGATTATCAAATAAGGACGGGGTAGAAATACCTGGATTATATGAGTCTACATTGCCAGATAATCCGGTTCAAAGCAGATAATCTGCATTATCTGCTTTGAACTGGATTATATGAGTCTACACTGCCAGATAATCCAGTTCAAAGCAGATAATCTGGATTTTATATGGCAGTGAAGAAGGGACCTGTGATTAACACTAATCAGTTGTACCATTTGTGACAAAACAATTCAAGAGAAAACTATTTCAAATTTCTCAGGCCCATCTACACTGCCATATAAAATCCAGATTATCTGCTTTGAACTGGATTATCTGGCAATGTAGACTCATATAATCCAGCTCAAAGCAGGCAATGTGGGATATCTGACTTGATAATCTGGATTATATGGCAATGTAGAAGGGGCCTCAAAATTCCCAAGACTAAAATAATAACATCTTGAGATTGTAGCATATTTGGTTTAGTAGAGGGCACCAAAGACAAATATGCTTTTGGATTCATTTCAAAGGACATGTTTGAGCATGTCTCCCCCCCCCCCCTCCCCCCAAAGGCAAGGAAAGTATTAAAACAAGGACCAGAGCTTGGAAAAGATACAATAACCAGAATCTCCAACCTGTGTGGGAGTTATAGTCCAAAGCTCTGTCATGAATCATCTCAAATGTGGCCTTCATAAAAGAGGGAGCCACATTATTTACTCTTTTATTTTTAAAAGGTGGATTGGATTCTCATGATACCTTTAAACTTAACTTGTTGCAATCTAAACAATATTTGTTGATAACAATATACTTCCACAGTGTATCTGATGAGACAAATTGTAGTCCAAAATAATATGTTTTATTTTGATGGAATTATGCCACGAGAATCTTTTTTTCTTTCCTTCTTTTTATTTTAAAGAATGATTTGGTTAAAATTGAAAGTACGATATGGTGTTGTAAATAATTACCTCAAGACTGGTCATGGAGGAGTGATACAGTTCATAAATTCAATGACGGAGGTTACGTAGAACATAAAAGACTGCCTTGTATTAATTCAAGCAGTTGGTCTTTGTAGCTCAGTACTGAATGTTGTCTGTCCCGTTTGTAATACTAGAATGAAAGGGTTGGCAGTTAGTACAGTTTCAGCCAATATGATGTGTTATAAATTGTGTTGTTGAAGGCTTTCATGGCCAGAATCATTAGGTTGCTGTGTTTTCTGGGCTGTATGGCCATGTCCCAGAAGCATTCTCTCCTGATGTTTTGCCCACATCTATGGCAGGCATCCTCAGAGGTTGTGAGGTCTGATCCAACAACCTCTCAGGATGCCTGCCATAGATGTGGGCGAAACATCAGGAGAGAATGTTTCTGGAACATGGCCATACAGCCCAGAAAACTCACGGTAACCCAGTGATATACTGTCAATTGTTTAACAGATACAAAATAACTGGTTTTATTCATGGTATGTTTACTTTTAATTCTGGTGTATTGTAATAGCTAACAGCAGTAGAAAGAAAGTTGAAACTTTGTGTCTTAAAAATAATGTGTGCATTATTATTGAAACTATGATATTGCTTCAGCACAAAACAATTACTGTTAGAGTTCCAAAATCCTCAAAGGCAACAAAATTACAAATCGTATAGTACATAGTAGCCCAAGTATGTTGCGGCCGTTGGTCTCTGAGAATGTGAGATTGGCCTGCACATTCTAACTTGCTTTCAATATTATATTTTCATTTAAGATAAAATTGTCCTTTTACTGGTAGGCAAACACCAGTAGAACCTAGCATCTAAAGTAATGTTTTGATAAAATGATAATAATTATTTATTTATTTGACTAGTCATATGACAATTTCAAAATGCAACACTAATAAAAGACAAGGCAAGAAGGAGAGGACAGCAGCTGACCATCTATTTAGTCAGAATCTTATTTTCCTGGTTCTTCTTTCAGGAAATGTGCTCTTTTCTTGATAGTTTTCAGAATAAAAAGGCTTACTCTGATTATGGTGGATCTTTCCTGTCCTTGCAAGAGGAATGTCAGAAGATCATTTCTGTTGGGGGACCTGCAGTTGGATAATATTGGTTGTAAATATCTGTATCGCAGTTCAGCATATGCTGAACAGTCAATTAAGAAATGTTTGATATCCTCCACTGTTTGTTCTCCCCATACGCAGAATCTCTCACTACTTGGGATGCTACAGTAATGCCCGGTTTGCATCATAATACAGAGTTGTTCAAACTTAGCCCTAGTATATATTCTTCTTAAGGGTAGTGGAAGTGGAATAGTCAGATAGTGTTCTAAATTAATATTCCTTTTGTGGGAAGCTAAACATGTGGCAGAAGACCTACCTATGCTTGCTAGGTCCAGTTGAGCATAGATGGATTTTAGTTCGTCAAGTATTTGTAATTAATTTTTTCATTGTGTTATAATTTTTACATCATTTTAAAATCTAATTGTTACTCCCAAATATAAGGGCCGGGCTTTAGCACAGCTGGTTAATCACCAGCAGCAATAGATCATACCAATCAAAAGGTTGGCAATTCGAGGCCTAGATTAGGATGAACGCCCAACCTCCAGCCCTGTTCACTATCCAGTTAAGCAGTTCAAAAACAGCTGTGAGCTATGGGTAGAGAAATTAGGCACCGCTTAAGCAGAGAGGTTTTTTTTAAAAAAAAATTATATATAGAGAGAGAGGGGGGGGAATACCAAAAATGCTGGTGATCAAAGAAAGGAGGAAACCTGTGATCAAGGGCTCTTCATTATAGAGGATGGAGCAACAGCACCCTCCGTGGCTGGAATCAAGCACAACCTCCAGAATGCCAAATTTGGAGAAAATGCCGGCATATCTATCTGTTTTCTGTTATGTCTGTTTAATGGTATTGACTGTTTGCCATGTATGCGTTCTGTGATCCACCCTGAGTCTCCTTCGGGGTGAGAAGGGCCGAACTTAAATGTTGTAAATAAATAAATAAATAAATAAGCAAACTAGATTAGATCAATTAAATCAGTAGGAAGCTTTATAAGTCAGTACATTCCATTGATTCCAAGCAATCATTCCATTTGGTATGAACAAGTAGATTTATATCCTTATTTTTAAACTGTTTTTGTTATTAGCCACTTTGGGCAGAAAGACAGGATTTATATTTAATAAATAAATCTAAAAGTATTATCTTAATGAATAAATGGGTTGACTGCAAACTTTCTAATGTGTACAATAGCATGTGGACACCAATACCATTTACTTCCCTATCACCATTGAACTTCCAGCATCACACTAACATAGCTGGAAGGGAAGCAACCTTTCTGAATTAGATAAACATGAATCAGATTTGTTGTCTGAGCATAGGGTTAGTTTACAGGTGTACTCATTAAAAACATGCAAATTGATTTAAGTACATATAGTGAGATGTGAATATTGGCCAAAATCTTGTCATGCATTTACAAATATGTAACCAAGAGTTATGCACTTGCAACTCTATCCTTACTTAACTCCTGCTTTAGGGACTTTGAAAATCTCCTAATGCCCACTTTCTCACAGGTGTGTATTGGGAATGTCAGTTAGCTGCTTCCAGATTGACAAGGAAACAGACCTTTGTCAATTTCAGTAGCTGCTGCCCAATAAAAGTGAATTGGGAGGAATAGGGACAGGATTTTGTGCATAGTGCTTATGAATTAATAACTCTCCAGCAGGATTCTAGTTCATGTTACTTTTAACATTTCTGTCACTGTTGTGTTTGGATGTTTGGAAACTTATTTGGATCTTTTAAAACCATTTAATTAAGCAACATTAATATTACCTAAAAAGTGTTTATGGGGTATTTCATGATATTTACAGTATGAAACCTTTCCAATTTACCATCATAAAGCACAGATTCTCATTCTCTGCTTTCTGGCACAGTGTTAAAGCCATCTGTGCCTTTGTCAAATGAACCTGAGTTTGCTGTTTAGTTTCATCTAACATTTCGCAAGACATTTGGTTTATTTTCCCCTTCCCTTAGTTCTTCATTTGTATTAAATGTGACATTAGTGTGTGATCCCTAGTTGGCATTAAGTCCCAGTGAACTCCGAGGAAATGAGCGTAGGAGGGTTGGAATGTAAACGTAATGCCAAATATGGTCTGAAACATCACTGTGACCTGGAAGTTAAAATTTATAATCACATTGTCCAGGGGCAACCTTGTAATATGTTTAAGATATCAAAACAAATATCTTTAGATATTAAATCTGATTTCAAGTTTAATTAATACTGGTACTGTATCCATTCAGCTTTGGGATAATTTGCAGAGCAATCTATTATTTATTCCAAAGCATGTGAAGTCAACCATTTCCCTAATACTTTCTGTAAGCCCCCTCCCACATTATCTTCTTTGAACTGGAATATATGGCAGTGTGGATTCAGATTCAGATAAACCAGTTCAAAGCAGATATTGTGGGATTGTTGTATGCCAGAGCAGGAACACCTCTGTCCTTAAGAACCACACAAGTATAGTAAAATCAGCTAGCAGTTTATTGAAGGATATATGTAAGCAAAGCAATAAACATGATAGAAACAGTATAGTCCAAAACAGTATTGATGGTCATGAACTTCAGGGTACAAAGGTAAAAACTCAAGACCCAAAGATGCAAAACCCAAAGGAACAAGACAGCATGGAGATCCAATGCCCAGAACAGGAACCTGGCAAAACTTGAAACTAGAAATCCACTTGGAAACAAGACCATCATGAAACTCCAACATTGAAGAGACTGAGCTAAAATCCTTTCCTCATATCTTATAAAGCTTTTCCTACTCCATGAACCAAAAGGAAAACATTTCATTTGTCCTTACAAACAGATAAGGATTAACTAACCGCCACTGATCTTGAGAAATTTGTCTTAGTTTACAAAAGTCTTGTTTTCTATCTTCAAACTCATTAAATTCTGCACCTGACAAGTCATCCTCCAAAGACAGTTTCTCAAAGAAAGACTGCTGTGGGCCTCTTCCAGGAATTTGACCTTGGGAATCTACAGGAGAAGCACTCTGTTCATGAGAAACCTTGGGCCTCTCAGCAAGACCTGGGCTTGACTCAGACTCAGAAAAATCCTCATCCCCATTGACATCAGGCACAGGCCCAGGAAAACCATCATCCTCATTGACATCAGACACAATCACAGGCTGAACTACAACAGGGATTTTCTGCCTTGATATTCTGGGTTATATAGCTATGTGGAAGGGCCCTAAGTCTCTAAAGAATAGAGGAGGGAAACACCTGAATCTTCCAGTTGAACTACTCTTCAAGAGTATTACAACTCAGTCCATTTACTCCAAAGATTAGCTGCCTCTTTGGGATTTTATTGCATATTGGAGGTGGGGTTTTATGATTGTTTTAATGTATTGGGATTTTTTGTAAAGGACGTAATAAATAATAGAGTTAAGTTACTAAATGAGAAAATATATTGCCAACTCTTAGGATAATTTTTTTTATGTTACCAAGTAGAAATGCTTTCCAAAATGGTTCCCATAAATAACCCCAGTTTGGCAATGGCATTATTTCCTATTCTATAGAATAATATTTAATTCTGTTTTGTGTAGGCATACTTATAGTGTCATATAAATCTAAAAGGAATGAAAAAAATCTCTTTGAAAAGCAGGTGGCATGTACAGTCTTATCACAATTGCAGATATAATGTCAAACTAATCTGAGCCTCCATTTGCCTCCTGAGCAGAATTCCATGTCTGCTAACACATTGCCAGCCATGCACCGGAAGGATGAAATCATGCACATTGTATGACATGGACTTGGAGACTTCTGACTAATTTCCTAAGGAATGAACTTTACTTCAGCGTTGTTGTTTCATTTATAAAACATTCCTCCCACACACACATACTTTATTAAGAGGGAGAAGTCTTTTCGGCCACAGAGTTTATTCTTTAATCTTTCCTCCATATAAAAATAGTTTACCCTGGTAGTCTAGGATGTATATCTTTATTGACACAATCAAACCATCTTTCAAAAAGCAAATAATTCAGAATAACATAGGATAAATGCATGCTGGTATCTATATAAGTCAAGCAAATGTTGTTATGGCAGGCCCCTTTGATACCCAAATCCATGGACACTCAAGTTTCATTGTATACAATAGTGTAATAAAATGGAATCTCCTATATGTCAAACAATTCAAGTGCTGGAGTTATTTTTTTCTAATATTTTTGAACTATGGTTGGTAAAAAAAAACACATATGGATAGAGAGGGCTGACTGTATTTTATGTCAAGTCCTCTTTGACTTCAATTTGGTGTCCTTTCATTTGGAGTGGAGTCAATAGATAGACCATGCTAAGCTTCCATATAATTGTGAAACAAAAATTGGAGTCAACGAGAGGCACTAAACTCGTCTGAGAGGAGGAATAGGACTATCTGTTGCATTTTTAGAGGTCATCTTGACTTTTTCCCCTCACTGATTCATTCTTCATTAAATCATTTAGTAAAGAATATGTTCTTTCCCCAACAGGCGCTGTGTTAGATGTACAGTCTGGCAAAGTATTGGTTGTACAGGATAGGAATAAAGTAAGTTTAACACATTATTTTGAAGAAATCAATCATTCGGCTTGAATCCAGAGATGTCTGTTCATGATCCAACGTGCTGTCAAAGGCCATCATCGCTGGAATCACTGGGTTGCTGTGAATTTTCCAGGCTGTATGGCCATGTTCCGGAAGCATTCTCTCCTTACATTTTTCCCACATCTGCAGGCATCCTCAGAGGTTGTGAGGTCTGTTGGAAACCAGACAAGTGGGGCTTATATATCTGTGGAATGTCCAGGGTGGAAGAAAGAAGTCTTGTCAGTTTGAGGCACGTGTGAATGTTGCAATTGACAACCTTGATTAGCATGAAATAGCCTTGCAGCTTCAAAGCCTGGCTCACAACCTCTGAGGATGCTTGCCATAGATGTGGGCTAAACGTCAGGAGGGAATGCTTCTGGAACATGGCCATACAGCCTGGAAAACTCACAGCAACCCATGTACAAGGTCTGTTTGTGAGAAGAGACGAATGAACCCTATTGGTGTGTTTTTTGTTGTTGTAACTGCATTGCAAAAGTTCAACCAAGGCCTTGCACAACACCTTGAGGCATCTATTCATATTACTTTTGGTCATTCAGGGCCCTATAATATTTTTTAAATCAGAGGTTGAACAGGTTTTTGTTTCCTGTTTCCATGGAAGCAATGGTGTTTGCCGTTTGATTGGCTGAAATCCAATCATTTACTAATGTATAGGAAATGGGAATTAAAGATGAAAAACCATGCATGCTTATCACCTCGTAAGAGCCCCCTGTGGCGCAATGGGGAGAATGGGTTGAGCTCCCTCTGTCAGCTCCAGCTCCCCATGCAGGGACATGAGAAAAGCCTCCCACAAGGATGGTAAAACATCCGGGCATCCCCTGGGCAACATCCCTGCAGACGGCCAATTCTCTCATACCAGAAGCGACAGTTTCTCAAGTCACTCCTGACACACACAAAACAACCCTAGTAGATCTTTTTCAACAAAGTGGAAAACTTTAAACATGTCTTGTATATAGCTATGACTGCTCCTACATCAGAATTACAAGAGTTGCTATAACAGGAGGGAAGCTGCAAACCCAACCTTTAAACAATTAAGCTCTATAGCGCAGCCTTACTTCTCTAAGAATTCATAGGAAAAAGCAGACTGCATTGAGGTTTTAAAAATAAGCTACTGGGCGTCTGCTGTAATTTGCTTGAAAAAAGAATTCATTAAAAGTTTAGCAGAGACGGCAAGACAGCCAAATCTGGCAGAGTGGCTCTACTCTTATACATGCCATACTGAATTGTGGATTTATTTAGGGCACAAATTCCTAACATGGGTGTAAACATGTTGTATCTGGCAGCTACACCAGGGCTAAAGCCAATGCAGTGTAATTGTTAACTAACCTATACATCAGGTATGGGCAAACCCAGGCTCAGGGGCCTGATGTGGTCCTTTAAGCTCTTTTCTCAGGCCCTCCTCTGTCTCGCTGTCCTATCAGCATGAGAATGCTGCAACCCACGGCATCCTCATGTTAAGATGAGAACCGGGGCAGTCACATGTGGCCTCAGCACCAGCCCCAGGCAGAGCCTCTTCCTGGCCCTCCTGGCCTGCTGCTCTTTACCAGCACACTCCCCTTTTTCTTGGCCTCTGCCCCCGGTGATAAGGAGTGCAGCTCCTCCTCTGCTTCCTCTTCTCTTCCGCCACCTTCCTCATGGGCAAGTTCCCCCTTGGACAGTCACTCCAGGAAGATGTACTGCCCCCAAGGAGTGGGCCTTCAGGAGGCAGCCCTCGTTGTTAACATGCCCTGCAGGCTCTCCTTCCCTTCCCTCCTGCTCCTCTCTCCAAGGGGGAACTTATCCTTGAGGAAGGCAGCGGCTGCAGAGGAGTAGGAGGAAGAGAAGGAGGAGGCGGAGAACTCCCTCCCTCCTGGCCCATCCACCCCACTCTGCCCCGCCATGGGGCCCCCAAGTTAGAAAGTTTGCCCATGCCTGCTATATATTCATCTATATATCTAGAAATTTTGGTCAAAACATTAACATAAAAAACCTGAGTTGACTTATCCATGGGTCATTGTGAGTACTGTACCTTAACTCTTCAGTGAAAGGTGAAAGCATTATTTTCAATTTTAATTTTACATTTGGCCTTCCCACAGTTTTATGTGTTCTTATCGTTAATGTTGCATATCTTATTGTCCATGTTCTTATTTTAATTGCTTGTATTATTATTATTGCCTGTATTGTTGTATTTGGGCTCGGCCTCATGTAAGCCGCACCGAGTCCCTTGGGGAGATGGTAGCGGGGTACAAATAAAGTGTTATTATTATTATTATTATAAAGGTGAGAATTTAATTCATCCCAGAAGAACATAAAAGAATCACTCATTGAAGCAGTAGATAATCTATTGCTGATGGGGCAAAGGTACATCATTTGTTACTGTATTAGTGCTACAAATATATCTGGATTTTGTTAAAAAAAACCCCTCTGTTTGATAAAGAATATATAGTGTTCCCTCGCTACTTCGCAGTTCGCTTTTCGAGGACTCGCTGTTTCACGGGTTTTAGCCTCCCAGTTTATGAATGGTTGCCATTGCCCAGAGCAGCGTTCAAATCTCGCCTCCTGGTAACGATGGAGTGTGGAAGGGGCTTTCACCCTCCCCCTCGGAAGAGAGGCAGCCAATCGAGAGATTGCAAAACAAAGCAGAGATAGCTAGCAAAAAAAAGGTGCACGGTGCCTTTAAATCTCTCCTCGCTTCTGCCTCACCCTCAAAACTTGATATACAATATATAGCGTCCCTACTTCGCGGATTTTCCCTTTTTGCAGGTGGTCCTGGAACATAACACCCACGATAAGTGAGGGAACATTGTATATGGAAGAAAGAATTAAATGTTTTTAAGTCTACTGGTTCACAAATCCAACAAGTAGATTCAACTCTCCTGATGACTTACCACTTTAACATATAGATTTAGCACAGAAATTGGCCACATTTAAGTGTTTTCAACACAGGAAAATCGATGCTCCCCAGTTTTGAAAAAGGGGGCATCTTATGGGTGACAGAGGCTATTGCTGTAACAGACATAAAATAGCACATTCCTCCAAAAAGAAGTGTGTTTTCATATACACTTTTGAAGCCAGCAACTTGGTTCCTAAAAAACCATATTGTACTTGTTAAAGCGTTGGCTTTGTGCCTTTTTTCACTTGAAAGTTGCCAGAAGCTACTTTTAGATGCAGATTCTGCCTCTTTTTCTGTGTCTAGAACAGGGGTCCTCAAACTTTTTAAACAGAGGGCCAGGTCACAGTCCCTCAAACTGTTAGAGGGCCAGATTATAATTTTGGGGGGGGGGGGACATTGCACATATCTTATTTGTAGTGCAAAAAACACTTAAAAGCAATACAATAATTAAAATAAAGAACAAATATAAACTTATTAGTATTTCAATGGGAAGTGTGGGCCTGCTTTTGGCTGATGAAATAGGATTGTTGTTGTTGTTGTTGTTGTTGTGTGCTTTCAAGTCATTTCAGACTTAGGCTGACCCTGAACGAGGGCCAGGTAAATGACCTTGGAGGGCCGTATCCGGCCCCCGGGCCTTAGTTTGAGGACCCCTGGTCTAGAAGCTTCACTTTTCATCGGTCCCAATTAAACCAATAATCAATATTAGTGATGACCAAATTCTTATCAATGTTACTTGTGGTGCAACTTACCTAACCACCTAGTGTGGACCCAATGAACTGCATTCAGTGCACCTGATTATTTAGTAGATAATAATAGCAATTGGACCAAGTATCCATTCATATTTGCCCTGAATAATCACCAGACAACATGGTGGAATCTCACTTTTTATTTTTCAATCATATAACAGGGGGAAAGACACATTGCACATATTGGTTATTACAGATACAACAGAAAACTTTATAGCCAGTGCAGTATAGAACAGTACTACAATCATAATCTCTGTTTTGTAAAATGGACTGTTTGTTTTATAAAAACAAAACACGGAACTAGAATATATATGTGTGATTAAATATTAGATTACAAAGGCTCCAATCCAGCACAGAGTTACTAACCCCATAAAATTAAGCATATCTAGCTCTGTATTGGAAAGTGGCCACATAATATAAGTATTCATAGCAGCTTCTTTAAAGTCCCTTCTACTTTGTACCTAGTTAATGAGCAGCAATGTTGCAAGTATAAACCGTCTAACAGTCATTAGACAAATCAGTAGATGTCTTCTGTGACTATACTGTTACAGTCATATAATTGTATTTGATCACATTAAAAAAACACATTAGGCATAGTCAACAAATGCAGGAACTGTATTTCTGATTCCTTGTCGATGGGAAAACTGTTTACTTATTGTTTCCATTTCAGACAACAAATGCGTGGAAATTTCCAGGGGGATTGTCTGAACCAGGTGAAGATATTGGTAAGTGGTTGTCCTCTAGAGCAATTGCATCAATAGGGCAGTATCATATACAGCCAGTCCCCAGGATACAAACAGCCAACTTACAAATAACTCATAGTTAATAATAGGGGCAAGACAACAGGAAGTGAGAGAAATCTACCCCTCGGAAGGGAAATTAACTCCGGGAAAAGTTATCATGGGGAAAAGGTGTCTCCACTGAAGCTTTCTCATCAATCCTTGTTTCCAGAATAAGACAGATTTTTCAAAATCCAATTTTCACAGGGACGGAAAGTGAGGGGAAATCTTCTGAGAAGGGCACAGACAGCAAAACAAACACCACAGGGGTATTAACCTCTATCAATACTATCCAGAACTCTCATCTATCTGTCTGTCTGTCTGTCTATCACTGGAGTGACACTAAAAATGTACCTGTTCTGACTTACGAACAATTCAACAAGAACAAACCAACAGAATCTATCTTGTTCATAACTTGGGGACTGCCTGTATGTCCATTGGGACATAACTTTTGTTGATTTCAGTGGAACGTACTGCCGAATAAGGATAGACCTACAACAGAAATCCTAACTCTGCATTCAGAGTTCCATACAGACTTTCAACTGAGTATAAATGGGTAGAAATAAAACAAGATCAAAATATGGGTTGGTGCCTGTAATGCTAGACAGAAGGACTTAACTTTGTATTGATGTCTTAAGTAATATCCTTCAAATAGATAATGCAGAAACCTGCAAAGTGGTCATAGTTTGAATTTCTTTCTTATTGTTGTCTTTTTGTGGATTGTTATGATTTTAAATTTAAAATACACTCAATTTTTATGATTTAAGTTGCCTCAGACTCAAGAATTTCTTTCTTATTGTTGTCTTTTTGTGGCTTGTTAAGATTTTTAATTTAAAATACACTCGATTTTTATGAGTTAAGTTGCCTCAGACTCAAGTTTTCTCAGATCTCTGTCAATGTGATAAATAACTCAAAGATGCTGTAATTTTAATTTCTAGGCCCACATACACATAGCAAAAACACACCAATTTAATACCAGAAGAGAAGTGTTCTCTTTTGGCATAAGCTTTGAATATTTTAAAAGGTGGATGTCTGATATTTGTTGGATCCCATTGGCTCCCACTGTAAAATCCTGACTGGTATTCTTGCTCCAATTCTAAATGTTTTCTAAGCTGAACTGTAACATTCTCTAACAATTCACATAAATTAATTATGTGGGTCCTAAGGGGTGGCATCTTTGTCAAAATAATGTTGCAAAAGACTAGCTGAAATTTCTCAGCAAGATCATGGAATCAAAAGAATTGGAAGAAATTTTCTTCCAAAAGCTAGGAAATCACTATAGTGTGGGTTGTTGTAAGTTTTTAGGAGTGTATGGCCATGTTTCAGAAGCATTTTCTTTTGACATTTTGCCTGCATCTATGGCAGGCATCCTCAGAAAACACTATAGTGTGTTTTCTAGGTTGAAGTTTACCCATAACACTGTTCTACAAATTTTCAGTTTTTCTCAGTTACGGAAACGAAATGTGCCGTTTCTTAATAAATTTAACAAGCTGAATTCAAATATAATAATTAAATGTGTTAATTGGCTCTGGTTTTTATGCAACAGCTATTTCAATTTTCTCCACAATAGGTAATTCGTTAATATTATGATAATGCGCCTAACCTTACTGCATGTATATAAACCGTGAATATTTACTAAATTTTAGTCAAATTATATTGCCAATAGTTTATACATGAGAAATATTTATTTAATTAGTCTATTGTTTATGTTTGTGCAACAAGAAACTATATTAGTAGGCCTAATGCAGTTGAAAAGTCTGAAAGTTTAAATGTCGCTTTAATCGTGACTTTAGTTTTTATCCTGTTTGCTTCTCTTGACTTTTCTTTTGTATTCAAGGAAAGGATTGTCTCTTACAATGCTCCAGCAGTAGTCTGACAGCATTGACGGAGTCCATTTACCTTGATATCTTTTTTCCATAGTGCTTTATTTACACACGTGCGAGGCATAACTACAGTAAAAAGAACAATGTAAAACGATGTTTAACGATACTGTCTCAGTCTTCAACTGACTGACCCTCACCGTTCAAAAGTCTGGCCTTATATAGGGCTTTCTGGCTTTTGCACACGGCACTAATACTGCGTCATCAAACTTTCTAGAGTATTCTAGAATCTTCCATAGTGTAAGTCGCAACATGCATTTTTTCAACCATACCTAATCACGTGATTGCTTATATCATAAAAACTAGAGCCAATATACATTTTTAAATGTCATTTTCGTTTTCAGCACCCCAAAATCATAAAAGAACAACTATTTTCAGGCCCGAAACTTTTTCTCCGTTGAACAGTGTAATTAAACAATTATGACAATGTAAATGTTACAGACCATAGAAAAACGACATAAAAATGGTCTGGTAAGGTAATTTTGGACTTATCAACATAAGAGTTTGTATCATCTTTCAGCAGTGTACCTGTGAATTTTATCACTGAGTTTTGATCCAACCATATAGAAAGGAGAGGGACACAAATATAAGTTCTAGTAGCAGGGAAAAGAAAGGACAGCAATGACTGAATCATATATTTTTTTCATGTCAATAGTGACTTGAAAAACTGCAAGTCGCTTCTGGTGTGAGAGAATTGGCCGTCTACAAGGATGTTGCTCAGGGGACAGCAGGATTTTTTACCATCCTGTGGGAGGCTTCTCTCATGTCCTCGCATTGGAAGCTGAAGCTGACAGACAGGAGCTCACCCTGCTCCCCAGATTTGAACCTCCAACCTTTCAGTCAGCAGTCCTGCTGGCAGAAGGGTTTAACCCATTGTGCCGCCAAAGGCTCCTGAATCATTATATACCCTGTAAATTTAAACTCCCTATTTATTGAGAAAAAGATTGCTCGGTAACTTCACCTTCGTACAAGGGAAGAAACTTAGGTGTTTTAACAAAGACAAGGGACAAATTTCCAGCCTGACATGTCTTTAGATGAAGAGTAGTAAAGTAAAGGTAAAGGTTTCCCTTTGACATTAAGTCTAGTCGAGTCTGACTCTGAGGGGTGGTGCTCATCTCCATTTCTAAGATGAAGAGCCAGCGTTGTCCATAGATGCCTCCAAGGTCGTGCGGCCAGCATGACTGCATGGAGCGCCATTACCTTCCCGCTGGTACCAATAGATCTACTCACATTTGCATGTTTTTGAACTGCTAGGTTGGCAGAAGCTGGGGCTAACAGCGGGAGCTCACCCTGCTCCCTAGATTCGAACCACCAACCTTTCGGTCAGCAAGTACCACAGCTCGGCAGTTTAACCCGCCGCGCCACCAGGGCCCCTAGATGAAGAGTTGTCTTTTCATCCCAGCTTGAAGAAGTGACTTTAGCCTGAAAAATCTACGTATATTATCCAGCAAGAGACTCATTCCTCTCTGTCTTGAAACTGAGATTAATTTGCAGACCTGATTCAAGGGCAAAACAAGAACCTTAGTTTTCAAACTTTTCAGATTCTTCCTTCTCTTTAATTTATTGCACCACTTAGCTTGATGAAGAGTTTAGGGACGCCTAACAGCTTGCATATGCTTTTCTTGCCATTGAGCTGCCTTTATTTTCAGAACGATAATGAAAGCTCTCTCTCTTTTAGGGAGCACAGCAGTTCGAGAGGTTTTTGAAGAGACAGGCATAAAATCGGAATTCAGGTCCCTTCTAAGTATAAGGCAGCAACACAGACACCCCGGAGCCTTTGGAAAGTCTGATATGTATATTATCTGCCGCTTGGAGCCTTCTTCTTTCAACATTAGTTTCTGCCAGCAGGAGTGCCTCAAGTGCGAGTGGATGGATCTACGTGACCTTGCCAAGTCAAAAGAAACAACTCCAATCACTAGCAATATAGCCAGGCTGCTTCTCTATGGATACCGTGAAGGGTTTGATAAGATCGACTTAACTATGAGGGAATTTCCAGCTGTGTACACAGGACTTTTCTATAAACTGTACCACCGAGAACTGCCAGAGCATTACAGGAACATGACAAATTTGTAAGACATGTAGGCTTTTTTAAAAGGCATCTAATATTACTGGTAGTAAAATGCATATGTATATTATTCCAGATTAAATTCCTTACAAATATATATTATTTCACATACAATGCTAAATATTTTTAAACTATGCAAATTTTAATATATATTTTTCTTTGTCTATTCCCAACGCATCAAGTAAAAAAATGAATATAGTATTTGACTGGAAATAAATGCATAAGTTCTCCATCCTGTCACATTCAATACACACATGTACACACAATTTATACATCTGCAAAAGGCACAATGGTTCTAGGATATCAAAACTGTTTTGAAGTCTACTACATACATAATTTTGCCTAAGTAATATTTCGAGATCAGTCCACAAATGCAATTTATCCTGGGAAATACCGGTCACATTTTTTCTGTTGTGTGGGGATGGGGATTACTACCATCTGCATTTCATACACTCCGCAACTGAAATCAACTCTTGGCGGACATTGGAAGGAAAAGGATAGCTTTCTGGCCTCGTCCAGTTTTTGGTCCAAGTTTGTACTGACCAGTTCGTTTCAGTGCAATGTACCAATCACGATATTTACGAGACCGATAAGTATTGTAATTATTAGCTTCCAAGCGTTCAAAAAAGAAGCATTCGTCGGTTACATATTTCTGCAAGACAAAGAGAAAATAAATTATTTCCAGCCAATAGCTGTCATGAAACAGAATTTTCTATAAAAAAACCTGGCTGATGATTTCAATCACTTATCATGATTAAGATTATCGAATCCATCAAATTCTATTTTATTTTTAGTATTTTATTTTTTATACACCAAAAAAAAACTATTCAGATTTAACATAGCAATTTTTAGGTAGACGTGCTCCTACACCCAACATACGTCTAACTGCCTTACTAAAAACATAAAAAGTGGCTGAAATCATCTCTGTGTTCATCCCTCACCTCTGGAACTCCCTCCATTAAAAAATTAAAATGGCCCTTCCTACTTCTCCTTCAAAAAACAATTGAAATTTTATTTCTGTTCATTGGCATATGAAGATGAGGAGGATTAGAAGTTCACATTCAATCAATATACCTGTTCTGAACTTGTGACCCTTCTCTGATTCAGTTGGTTTTTGGCTTAGTTCAGTGGTTCTCAACCTGTGGGCCACGGCCCAGCAATGGGCTCTGAGAACGAAAATCCAGTCTGCGAACCTCCTTCCTCTTTATTTATTTTATTTCCGTTCCTTTCTGCAGAGCCGACCAGCCCTGCCCATTTTGGTAGTAATGTTGGAGAGTGGGCCGTGGTCAAGTGGGCCCTGGTCAAAAAAAAAGGTTGGCTTAGTTTGAACTGTTGACCTCGCTGGTGTTATTGACTGCATAATATTTTAATAATTATTTTAAATGAATGTTAACTGATGTTTATATAATTTATGCCAATGTTGGCTATGTTAGATGTAGATTAAGTTATAGGTTAAGAGACTATTTAATTTTGGGGTTATAATTTGGCTGTGGATATTGTTTTTTGGGATATGGTTGTTTGTTTTATGTTTCTTGGATCTGGCATTGAATGTTTGCCATCTTTTGTTGTGGATCCGCCCTGGGTCTCCTTGCGGAGAGAGGGTGGAATATAAATAAAGTTTATTATTATTATTATTAAATATGAAACCACTTTAAGGTAATCTCTAAAAGAGATTATACCAAAATATAAAGAAAGTGAGCCTTCTGCTAGATATGCATAGAATGCATAGAGTGTTAGTTACACTGGTTCAACTTAAATTACTGAGTCAGAGAAACTGATTTGTCTTTATGATTTCAGTGACACTTAAATATATCCAGTTTTCTTTGAATTGGGGCTCAATGATTTACCAGATGTTTTTATTTATTCACTTGTGCTACTGATCCCAGGAAGTAATAAAGTTGTTTTTTAAAAAAAGTAAAGAATAAAAAAATATCCTGAATACGCATTAAAACAAAAATTCACAAACTGAAAACTTGGCAATCAAAGCACAGTCTGAACATTTGAAGTTCTAAACCAGTTGTTCCCAACCTGTGGTCCATGGACCACCAGCAGTCTGCAAGAACTAAAATACGGTCTGCAGCCTCACCATTACTACACCGTTGCAACAAGAGTGACTGGTCTCACAAAACCCTCTTATAGTACCGAGGCTTATTAAATATGGCTTTCTGTGGGCAAGCAGATGGTGACTACTGGATGTCATACATTCTGTATAAGAAACTAGAGCTGACGTGGTCTATCCAATGCAATTTTCTGAATCAGCACCCCAACACCAAACTGAATTTAAAGTTGACCCTAAAACTGATTTATAACCCTTTTGGTACTAATTTTGGAGAGTGGTAAGTGGTCAAGTGGTCCCTGGTCAAAAAAGGTTGGGAACCACTATCCTAAACTAAAAGTCCTGTAGAAAACCAGCATGGTGTATAGGTTTGGCTACTCAAATATGACTGAAGAGCAGGGCCCACATCCCTGCTTGGTCATGGGAATTACTGGGTGGGAAAGTCACATCTTTTTGGCCTCCAAGGAAGGCAACGGCAAACCCTCTCTGAACAAACCTTGCCAAGGAACTGTGTGGCAGGTTTGCAGTAAGTCAAAAAGAACCTGAAGACAACAATAGAAAGTCCTATAATATTTGAGCACTAAGGCACTACAGATCTGACTGAGCCTTGATCAAAACCAAAGCATGATAAGATTATATAATATCTTAACTTATCCTTAAGCACAGATATGAGAGTGAAAAATGAAAGCATATTCACATTTCCTTACCAGTGCTAACAATCGTCCATCTTCATTCATAGCCAGGAAGCGGTTTGCACATACACCTTTGATGGACACTACACCTCTCTCCTCTGCCTGGAGCAGCAATTTGACTGGAATGAAAGAAAGGCATTGTCAGAGTTCAAGAAATGTTTTATGAAATGCAAGCTGTGGAATAATTCACTGAAAATTTAGCAAATAACTGCAAAAATAAAATTTATTTACTTGCTTTACCAATCCCAGTAAGCTTTTTATTTATATAGGCTTTTGTATGCTGACAAACAAGAAAGATGTGCCATGCACAAAACTCTTACTGCAAATGAATTCTAAGAGCTGCTGAGTGTTTCATTTATACTGAGTAAAACAATATGTCTAAATGCTAATGGCATGTCCTTCCTTGAAAAAAAGTCAGTAGAAACATGCTTTCCTGGAATGCTGTCAAACAAATACCCACATTTACTGCATTTCAGTTACAAATAAGAAAATTCAAATGCAAGTTTTTGTGCCAACTAAGAACATCACAAATATTCAAGATATTTACATTCTCCCTCCTAAGTAGTTGAAAACAGGCTGAACAGTTCCTCTGTAACCTGAGTAGGAAAAGCAGTGGCTCATCGTATGTGTGCTGATTTGGGCTGTTGGGAATTATAACCACAGGCTCATCATTCCATCACTACCCTGCCAAAAGTATTTAACTTCATATATTATGTATGCTGAACTAGAATTATGATGAATGGTTCCTTTCTCCCTGCACTGTATTTCAAATGTATCTTTTTCCTTATGTTTTTCAGTTGTAGATGTTTGAGAGCAAAGAGATGTTCAAAATCTGCCACTATTTGAGGAAGGAATAATCAGTGATCATAAAAATTACTATCCTGGGAAATCAAAATCCAAAGAAATTGTATATTTCATAATATAGTCACCAAGATTCAGATTACTGAGGGCCTTTTGAGTAGAAGCTAATTCTTTATGGAAATAGGAAAGAACAACTTATATTTGTGAGCAGTCCAAAATATTTACAGCCTACCTCTTCCGTGTAGTACGAAAGCCTAGTTTAGTCATTAACAGGCTCTTAAAAGTGATTCATAAAGCCCACTTCCAGGATACTATGATGGCTCTGACCTTAAAAATCATATCCAAATTGATGCCAACTATTTAAACCAAAATCTTCTGCCTCTGATAGAAAAGGAAACATAATATTCAGTAACACCTACAACAGGATAACTACAACTGTGTCTGTTCCCATTACAGTGTTTGTGTCTCAATTTAAGCAAACAAAAGTTGGTGAACCAAGTATAAAGCAGGTGTGGTAAGAGGGTATTGCTATCAAATTGACTGAGAATGTAACATTACATTCTGGAGCTTCTGACGTATCATTATCAGCTTTCAATCTATGTTGAAAGATTGGAGACCTAGAGAGCACCACCTGGGATCACAACCACATACAGTGAAAACATCTGCCCTTGCGCTGTTACTCTGCTGCTGAGTATGCATGCCCAGTGTGAAACACATCTCACCAGGCTAAAACAGTGGATGTGGCTCTCTGACACGCTAAAACAGTAGATGTGGCTCTCTGACATGCTGCATTATCACAGGATATCTGTGCCTTATACCACTGGAGAAATTACACTGTTTAGCCGGTATTGCACAACCTGACATCCACTGGGAAGTAGCAGACAATAATGAAAGTACCAAGGCAGTGACATCTCTGTCCCATCCTCTGTTCGGATAACAGCCAGCACGGCAACACCTTAAATCAAGAAATAGTTTTCGAAAATCTACAGATATACTTGCAGGAACACCTCAGCAAGCGAGAGTCCAAAAGTGGCAGGCTAAAACCCAGAACCTCAAGCCATGGCTGATACCAGATGAGAGACTGCCTCCTGGGAATACAGAAGGCTTGGCAACTTGGAAGGCGCTTTGGCACCATGAGATGCAGAGTCAACCTTAAGAAATGGGCTACAAAGTGGAGTCCACGACATGCGAGTGTGGAGAAGATCAAAACAATGACCACTTGCTACAGTGCAGTCTGAGCCCTGCCACATGCACAATGGAGGACCTTCTTATAGCGACACCAGAGACACTTCAAGTGGCCAGATACTGGTCAAAGGACATTTAGTATAATGCCAAGTTTTTTAAAAAACTTTGTGTTTTTTAAATATATTACAAATAAATCAGTCATAGCCTTTGTCCAAGACTAAAATGTTTATAGACCAGATTTTTTCTCTAACATGAATTAGATCATTTTGCACTCCTTTGTCCTCATCCCAAAACATACTGCAGGTTTGGTGAATTGATAGAAGAATCCTACTGACCTCCTCAATTGCAACAGGACATAATTTGGATCCCAAATGTGGGATGAATCCACCAGCGTAAATGGATTGTCGTGCTATGTTTTGTATGGCTAGTGCCATTTACAAACACATAATTATTTTCAGAGGTGGAAAATTAAAGGCTTTTCAGTATGAATAAAAACAGCTATTTTGGTTCATAGAATAAAGTGCTGGACAATGTGAAAGCATTAATATGTATTCATTGTATTGCCAGCATAAACAGGGCTAAGTAGTTGCCAAAAGATTCAAACAAAAGACAAAAGTGCAACCAACTGAAAAAGCAAGCTGTTTAAATAACACAGATCACAATCTGATAGCCTAGTAGTTTCTGATTTAGATGAGAATTAAAAATGCAGCACTACATCAAACAAAGAACACTCTACAAAAATGTGGTAACAGCCAATTTCATTTCTAAACATCAAAGAGCAGTAGTTTTACTCTTAAATGGAGAAAATAGTATATTTGGCTCCATACTTCCTTTCGGTTGTCTTTAAGGTTCTCAATTTCATGGCAGAAATTATTTCCATGCATCAACTAACAAGGGCTGAGATTATATGTTTACTCGCTTGAGAATAATATGCTTTATAGATCTCAACTACACATCTTCTGAACAGAGAAGTGTAAGAGTGCACTTAAGTTATGCTACCCGTAAACATGCCATTTTTTCATGTCTACTCAAAAATAAACCCCACTGAATCCAGAGGGCTGGCTCAAAACTATATGAGTATATGATGGCAGCTATATATATAGAGAGAGAGCTTCTAGCATTGTTTTTGCCTGTCACAGATGTGTCCAGCACAAAATGAGACACTTCTGAACAGCCTTCCATAATCGCTCATTGGTGGAACAAAATTCTTTAAAATTCTTTATTCACAAAATTAATATTTTAATCTCATCAGAATAACAAATAATAAGGATTTGCCAGCGCTTTAATACTGTATAATGACAGAGGGTAAGGTGCCTAAGTAATATAGTAGAGTCTCGCTTATCCGACCGTCGCTTATCTGACATTCCATCCAATCAGGCAATCTTATCCAACGCTTCCCTTTTCTTCCAGCATTTCCCTTTCAATTAAAGGAATGCTCCCCAACTCTGTCTCCATTTCCAATAAGTGAAAAAGACAAGACAAGGAAGAGGAGGGAGGAAAGGACTTTACACGCATACGTCTACCTCAACATGTGTTATGACAGTATTTCCTGCCCAGTTTACTGTATTGTTGCATTTTCCTGCACTCCTGTAAAAATGTATTGCACTCATTGAATCTATACCTCAGCTATGTTTCTTTCAGCTGTATTGTTTTTATATCGCTTTCAATTGTGTTGTTATTTGTTTTATCTGATGTTTTAATTGGTTAAAGTGTTTTACATGTGTGTTTTAATTGTAATCTTGGGTGTGTCCCTTGTAAGCTGCCCCAAGTCCCCTAGGGGAGATGGTTGGTGGGGTATAAAAATAAAGTTATTATGATTATATAAGGGGAGAAAGAGGCAGAACTGGAAGTGGAAGCATCTTCCCTCCCCTCTGTGATTTCCACGCTCCTCTTCCACATCCAGGCACTTCCTGCTCTAATCCCAAGGTGATGCCTTGCCTCAACCCTTTGAGTCCTTGTTGTTAGTATTCAAGGTGTCTAGCGCCATGTTGGACAGGTAACAGTAGCAGACTCTGTATTATCTGACATTTTCATTTGTCCGACATTCTGCCAGTCCATTTATGTCAGATAAGCAAGACTCTACTGTACCAGTATTAAGGTGGCTAAACACTAATAAAGCATAATTTGTATAAAACAATATAGTGCTGTAATCACAAGAATTATATAGCCAAGAATAAGTGAAATGCTGAGTAGAAGTCAGAGCACAACACTGGTAAGACAATAGGACAAAAGCTTTTTTTGAGAACTTCAATAACCAACCAGAGGGGTTTTTTCCCCTGTTGGCACATGTTATTCAGATTGTAATTCAGAGAGCAAACCGCTTTGGAGCTCTTTAGCAAAAGGTAGGGGATAAATGCTTCACATTTTAAAAACATAATAAATTCTGATTTTGATTAACAGGATCAGTGTGGCCGCTTTGCTGAGCTAAGGCTCTCAACATGTGCTCAAGTGAAAGAGTGGGATCTGGTTATTTTGCTTCTCTGCTAAGGACTATAATGTGGTTTGGAAGCAAACAGGGGCACAAGAAATTAAAGGAAAGATGGATACAATAAATACTCTGCAAAATAAGACATGGGACAAATTGAAGTGCATGGGAGAAGTGCAGGAGTGAATCAAACTTTACAGAGTTTGTCAATATCCTGGAGAAAGAGGGATATATACCGGTATTTATTGGCCTACTGGTTACCCAGTGCCTAAAACAGGCTGCACACTATAAAGCCAAGAGATGAACAGACCACATCAACTTTCCTTACGTAATAAAAAGAACATGATTACATCATGTATTTCCTTCGGCACATTCCTTCATGAAAAGACAACGGTGTGCCTTGAAGTCAAAGGAAAACCAGAGTTATTTCTGTCTGTCACAGCTGGCAAAGCTATTTAGCCCTTCAATTAATTCATTCTCTTTCCTTAGACAGTGTTGCTGTCTTCTCCTTCCTGTAATTCCTCTCAGACTCTGCCCAAATGGACCAACCTATTACTGTCTGACCCAACTAAATTTGGATGCTATTGGGGTTGAGTCTTTTACACATTTTAAAGGAAACTTTCTGACCAATGGAAAATGGTAGGCTCTCCTTCTCTTTTCTTAACTGATCTCAAGTCAATTTATGCCAACCCTAAGAATGAGAAGTCT